TGCCTAACCAACGATATCCAGACCTGATGTCATAAGCCGTAAGGATCCTCAGACAAGAAGAATATTTTATGTACGATCGCCCATCTACTTTCAACCATGGAAGAAACTCAAGGCTACAACTTTAGAGTAGCATCATCATCAATGAAGTTGTCAATGTCACTTTAATTTTTTCAAAGGATTTCGCTGATGAAATCTTGGGAAAATATCGAGCCTGGGACTATTAAATAAGCTAACCGTAAAGAACGTTCGCATTTACGAAATCCACAACATCAGGGTGAGATAAAAAAACTGCAACAAAGTCAAACGCCATAATTTTTATTTTTTTTTTTAATTTTTTTTTTTTTTTTTTGATTGAAAGCAAAAAAAATATCGGAAATAGCATCAAATTTTAGAATAAATTTAGATATGTTCAAACTGGTCACCTTTGCCATGAATTCTGGATTTTAAAAGGCCAATAAAACCGTCACACGCTGCCCCAATGTTGCTCTGCGGTATTTTGGCCCACTACCAGCGAAACGCTTGCTTGAGGTGATCGACACTTTGGTATTTTTAGTGCCAACCTTGCTTTCCAAAATACTCCAGATACAATAGTCCAACGGATTGGTATCCGGAGATTTTGGTGACCATTATGCGTAACCATTCTTGGGTGGCACGTGCGAAGGTGCTGAGTCCTGTTGGAATGTCCAAAATCTGCGCCCAAAATGTTTGCATGCCCAAGGCTTTAATACACCCTCCAGAATATTTTCGCGATAATATTCGGTATTTATTCTGAATTCATGGTCGATTAATACGAGCGGAGAGCGACCATCTGCTGTTATGGCGGTCCACACCACAACCATGGACGGCGCTTGAGTTCTGGTGGCCAACCGAAAGTGCACATTGTCAGCTGACCTCTTTGGTACACAATATCATTTTGTTTCTGGCACTTTTTGGAATTTCAATGGCTTTGCCCTGAGCTCATTTTTCAATATTTGCCGAATGGAATATTGCGATATGTTTTGCTCACGAGTCATTTTTCGGCCACTGCGACGAGGGTTTCGATCAAGTCGCTTTTTCATTTTTCGAACCATTTCTGCTGATGTTGCTGTTTTCTTCCGTCCACTTCCTTGACGTCGGGCTACGCTTCCAGTATCACGGTAACGAGCGATGGTACAAGACACAAAAGATTTATTCACATTTAAATGCTGGCTGGAGTGCTCTAACGATAGCCACTTGTGGTTTTCCAGCCAAATATAAAGAAATCACACTATCACGTTATTCCATCACGAATAACTTTTTCTCTGGAAAATTCTCACCAAAATGCTTTTGTACGCTTGTAAACAATATAATGAGCTGTCACTGGAATAATTTTAACAGCTGTCAGACGAGTGGCTTAGAAATGACAGCAGTCTGTAGTTGGTTGCAGTTTTTTCTTCACACTATGTAATATCCACTGGATCTATGAATAAGATTTACGTGACGTATACGCTATGGAAACGACATTTCAAATCGATCGGATTTTATAGTCTAAATGCTCTTTTGGTTCCTATATTTCCAAGGAGTTCCAAAAAATCGTATCCAACTTTTTAATATTATCCCTTATTGATAGCAAATAACATATATTTTAATTGTTATACAGACCAAGAATGCGACTTAGACAAATTAAAGCATACTTTTAGGCGTCGTGGTTGTTACCTTTTTGAATTGTAAGGTAATTTGCTTTGCTGCAATGAATATTAATTAGCAACAAAACAAATGTGTTTCATTTTTGTCTTATCAGTAAGAAAATGTACATTACAAGGGGTATGGCAGAACCCCTTTTTAGTCTTACATATACATTTACAAACAGTTCGTATAAATAATTGAACACAATTTAAACATTTTCATGTTAAAGCTCTATTGGTTCAATTGATTACAAAACAAGAATAAAACAAGTAAAAAAACATTAAGTTCGGCCGGGCCAAACTTTTAATACTCTCCACCTTAGGGTAAAGAAAACATTAGAAGAAATGTGGCAAAAACCATTAAAACGCCGAATATCGGGAGGTACTGGTATATGGGGGCTATACCAAATCGTGAACCTACACATGCAATGTTTCGCCAAAGGAGCTAGAACCCATTATGACCCGCAAATACCAATTTTTAGACAAATCAGTGAAAAAATATGACAAAAAAAATTAAAATACAGAATATCGGGAGGAACCATTATATGGGGGCTATACCAAAACGTGGACCTATACATGCAATGTTTTGCCAAACGCACAGGGACCCGTTATGACCTACAAATACCAAGTTTCAGACAAATTCGTGAAAAAAATGTGGCATAAATCATCAAAATACCGAATATCGGGAGGTACCGTTATGTGGGGACTATACCAGATAATAGATAATGTGGGCTGTATCGTGATTTCAACAGACAGACGGACATCGTTAAATCGACTTAGAATTTTATGCTGATTATGAATATATATACATTATGGGGTCTACGGCGAATATTTAGGGATGTTACAAACGGATGACAAAGTTAATATACCCTCCTTTCCAAGGTGGAGGGTATAAATATTAGTCGGTTTTGCCGACAGATCTATACCCTCAGCCAATGTTCGATTATTTAAATATATTTTGACTTCTGTTATGATCATTTTAATTGTTGACTATTTATGGAGTAAGTTCCGAAGGAATGGGCCAATATTGTCCATTTCGTATCGGACCTAAAAAAAAGATGATACTAATATTGTGGGTACCAGCATTATATTGTTTACTTCCTATACTTGATATGAGATATGTGATAATTTTTAGAAAATATTAAAAGTGTGCCGAGGTACCACATATAGTCGATCGAAGTATTCCATTTTCATATCTCATCTGATACAGATACAAAAATATTTCTCTTCAATTTTATTCGAAATCATAAATTTCATATTCATCTCAGGTATTGAACAATGTGACCCTTGTTGTGGGTGAGGTACCAGAAGGGGTTCGCAGATATATATCATCCTTACAAGAGAACTTGTGTTAGGAAAATTGTTTGTATGTGTGAAATTTGAAGAGAGTTGGATGTTTATTACGCTTTCTTTGAGCGTTTGGTTTTTAAAAATCTTCAACCCCATGTAGGGGAGGTACCATAGGAAACGGCCGATCCATCCCATCTTTATAACATATCTTGTGTTGATGGAAATATTGAGATATACAAAGTCTGAATGCAATCGAATGTTAATTTCGCGTTTTATGAGCTTCATGGATATTCAAAATTTTGGCCCTTTATGGAGGAGGTACCAGAAAAAGTGGGCCAGTATATTCCATTTTCACAGCAGATCTTATGTTAGTAGAAATAATGGGATGTGTGAAATATGTAGAGAACCGGATGCTTATTTCGGATTTTATAATCGTTTTTGTTATTAAAAACTTTGTTCCTTTGTGGGGGAGGTACTAGAAGGAATGGTCCGATCTCCACTATCTTTATAACAGAACTTGTATTGATAGAAATATTGAACTGTGCCAAGTCTGAATGCAATCGAATGATAATTTCGCGTTTTATGCGGCTTCATGGACACTCAAATTTTTGACCTTTGTGGGGGAGGTACCAGAAGGAGTGGACCGATATATTCCATCTTCACAGCAGATCATGTGTTAGTAGAAAAAATGGGATTAATGAAATATGAAGAGATCAGATGCTTACTTCGGATTTTATAATCATTTTGGTTATTCAAAATTTTGACCCTTTGTGTGGGAGGTACCAGAAGGAATGGTCCGATCCCTACCTTCTTTATAACAGATCTTGTGTTGATGGAAATATTGAGATGTACCACGTCTGAATGGAATCGGATGTTTATTTTTCGTTTTGTGAGCTCCACGGATATTCAAAATTTTAACCCCTTGTGGGGATGGTACCAGAATACCGACCGATATATTCCATCTTCACACCAGACCTTGCGTTAATCAAAATATTGTGCTGTGTGTAATTTGAAGGCAATCGGATTCTTACATCAAATTTTATAAGTGTTATAATTATTCAAAATTTTGAACCTTTGTGGGAGAGGTACTTGATGGAGTGGACTGATATTGTCCATTTTCGCACCTGACCTAGCACTGATGCAAATATTAGGATATGCAAAGTTGCAACAAAATCCTTTCTCTTTCTGTGCAGAATTTTATTATTTATTTTTTTTTTTTCAAAATTTTGACCCTTTGTGGGGGGATACCAAAAGGAGTGGACTGATGTATTCCATCTTAACACCAGACCTTGGGTTAATAAAATTATTGAGATGTGTGAAAGACAATCAGGCTCTTACATCACATTTTATAAGAGTTATAGTTATTCAAAATTTTGACCCTTTTTGGTGGAGGTACCAGAAGGAGTGGACCAATATTGTCCATTTTCGCACCTGATCTGGCACTGATGGAGATATTAGGATTTGCAAAGTTGGAGCAAAATCGGATTATCGTTTCTCTTTCTGTGCAAAAAAATATTTTTTGACAATGTCAACCTTATGTGAGGGAGGTACCAGAAATAGTAGACCGATATATTTCATTTTAACGTCAGACCTTGGGCTTGGAAAAATATTGTGCTGTGTGTAATTTAAAGGCAATCGGTTTTTTTACATCAAATTTTATAAGAGTTATAATTGTTCAAAATTTTGAACCTTTGTGGGAGAGGTACTTGATGGAGTGGACCAATATGGTCCATTTTCGCACCTGACATAGCACATGATTATGACCTTGATTGTGTCTCTCAAAATATTTTTAAGAAATCCGCTATTATGGCCAAGATTCTCTGTTGATCTTTAAAAAGAGCCATGATTTCCATTCTGATAACGAAACTTTTTCTCGGAAATTTGCAGTTCATTTAATTCCTCCCACTGTGTCATGTACCTCTAGCTTAATTAAAGATGCACAAAAAATTTTCAACTGATAACATTTAACAAGTTACTTCCAAGAACTTCAAACAATACTTACATCGGCTGTATCTACTCATCGGTAGCACCACATCAGATATAAGACCCCTGTTTCAATTTCAAAACGAAACAATAATAAAAGCAAACTTCAAAGAATAAAAACCCCTTCAGTATGACAGCGCGATTTGGAATAACTGTGTTTTTTATATTGGCTACCATTACCACCATTAGCCATGCCAAGGCTATTGTGGAGGAGAATGGCAAACAAACATTCCTGCAACAGATAACGGGACGTAGCTCTTTTGATCGTTACACTTTGGGTCAGGAAGTTGATGGTAAGCTCTACATTTTTTATTTATTTATTTTTGTTTTTAATATTGATAAATTTGTTTCTTCCAGGTGCCAGAATCCTCTACTCCTATCAGTATGAACAATCCTTTGATAGTGTCCAACCTGAAATTTCACTAGACTATGATTATCCATCGGCCGATGTGCCAGTGAATAATAATGTCATTGTAACACAAATTGTTTTATACGTTGAGGCTTCGGATGATGCCACCACCCAGGCTTACACCACCAATGGAGGCATTGGCCAAAGTTCGATTTCTTTGCAAATTGTAGCCAAGAATTCGACTTATTTGCGTTACATGGTTGTCGTTTATGGTAGATCTGTGTAACTCTAGGAAATAATTAATAAATAACAAGTAACAAACAAAAAGGTATCAGTCGGTTTTGCCGATAGATGTATACCCTCAGCCAGTATTCGATTATTTAAATATATTTTAACTTCTGTTATGATTATTGCAAACGTTAACCCTCTATAGAGTGGATTCTGAGAGAATGGGTCAATATTGTCTATTTCGCGTCGGACCTAAATAAATAGGATATAAATATGGGGCAACTTGATAACAGGTTGATAACTTCCTTCACTTTACATGACACATGTGATAAATTTTGGAAAATGTTAACATTTGCGTGGCATAGTCGACCGAAGTATTCCATTTTCATGTTTCATCTAATGCATATAAATCTATTGGTATGGGAAAAAATTACAAGAAAATCGAACATTTATATCCAGTTTATGTGAAATCATAAATTCCACATTCATCTCAGGTTTCTGGTTGAGAGAAATATTTAGATGTAGCAAGTTGTAAAGAATCGCTGACTTGTTTCGCAAGTTCGGACAGGTAAAATGATTGAATATTGTGGGTGAGATGCCAGAAGGGGTTCTCAGATATATATCATCTTCATAACAGATCTTTTGTTAGCAAAAATGTTTGTATGTGTGGATTTTATAAATGTTCTGGTTATTCAAAACTTTGACCCTTTGTGGGGGAGGTACCAAAAGGAATGGTCCGATCTCTACCGTCTTTATAACAGATCCTGTATTGATAGAAATATTCAGATATGCCAAGTCTAAATGGAATCGAATGTTAATTTCGCGTTTTATAAGCATAATGGATACTCAAAATTTCGACCTTTTGTGGGGGAGATGGCAGAAGGAGTGGACCGATATTATCCATATTTTGCACTTAACCTAGAACTGACGCACCTAACCTATTAGGATTTGCAAAGTTAGAGTAAAATTGGATTACTGCTTCCCTTTCTGTGCAGAAAATATTTTTATACCCTTCACCATACTATGGGGGTATATTCATTTTGTCATTCCGTTTCAACGAAATATTGATCTAAGACCCAACAAAGTATATATATTCTTGATCAGCGTAAAATTCTAAGACGATTTAGCCATGTCCGTCTGTCTGTCTGTCCGTCTGTCTGTCTTTCGAACGAATTGAGGTAGAAGGATAAAATTTTGCACACATGTTTATTTTTCCAGTAGGCTGGTTAGGTCCACGTTTTCATATGTGCAAGCCAACGTCTTCGTATAGGCCCCATATATCAGTACCTCCTTATATTCGGTATGGGGACGATTTTAGATACAATACTCACCGAAATTGTTTGAGATGTCGTATTTGAAATTCGTCATGGAAGCTAGAGCCTGTGACAGAAAATTGTCTATGCAGGTCCAGGTCTTCGTATAGCTCCGATATAACGGTACCTCCCTATGTACGATATTTTGATGATTTTGGATACATTATTCACCGTTTATTTCAAGTTTTGAATTTGAATATGGTAATGGCTTGTGACAAACAATGCCCATGTAGGTGAACATCGTACAGGCCCTAATAGAATTTTTGGCGGATGTTATATTTTTCGAAAATTTTCAAATTCGTTCTAAATGGTGGAGTGTATTCAAAGTTCGGCCCGGCCGAACTTACAGCTTTTTTACTTGTTTTAGACATTTTGTGCGGGAGGTACCAGAAGGAGTGGACCGATATACTCCATCTTAATACCAGATCTTTTCCAGGGTTCATAAAAATATTAGGATGTGTGAAATTTGAAGATAATCGCACTCTTACATCACATTTTATGAGAGTTATAATTATTCAAAATGTTGACCCTTTGTGGGGGAGATACTTGATGAAGTGAATCAATATTGCCCATTTTCGCACCTACTGTAGCACTGAAAGAACTATTAGCATTTGCAAAGTTGGAGCAAAATCGGATTATCCTTTCTCTTTCTGGGCAGTAAATTAATTTCTTTGAAAATGTTTACATTTTGTGGTGAAAGATACCGATATCGCCCATTTTTGGACCGATATTGCCCATCTCTGAACTTGATCTAAGTTTGACAAAAATACTACAATGTACAAATTTTGGATCAAATCGGATACTGCCTTCGAGAGTTATTGTGCACAAAAGCCAGACAGACGGACGTACCGGATTTGGTCCAAAGAGACCGATAAGGCACATTTTGGCCATATCAAATGATATATTCCCCTTTCTAGCCATATGACTGAGGGTATACAAATCGAGGAATACGACCTTGATGGTTTACCTGAATATATTTCTAAAAATGTCGTCGATTACAACCTTGATGGTCCCTCTGAATTTATTCCTAAAAATATCACCTATTATAAACTTGATGGTCTCTCTAAATATATTCCTAAAAGATCCATGATTATGGACTTGATGGTCTCTTTGAAAATATTTCAAAAATATCCACTAACAAAACCTTAATAGTCCTTATTCCTAAAAATATCGACGATTTTAACTTTGATTTCTTCTTTGGAAATACTTGTAAAGGCAAGTTTTGTCATAAGTTATTACAATATTTAAATGCGAAACTTGAAGAAAAATCTGTTTATAATGTAGCTAAAATCATTAAAATATCGTATATGGGGGGTACCGTTATATGGGGGTTATACGAAGACGTGGACCTGCACAGACAATTTTCTGGCATGGGCTGAAGTATCCATTACGACCTTCACATGCCGTATTTGAAACAATCCCGGTAAATAATGTCGCTAAAATCATCAACATACCAAAATTCGGGGGGTACGGTATATGGGGGCTATATGAAGACTTGGACCTATATGGCCCATTTTCTGTTTTATGCTGCAGTATCCATTACGAACTTCAAATACCAAATTTGGAACGATTCCGTTAAATAATGTCGCTAAAATCATCAAAATACCGAATATCGGGAGGTACCATTATATAGGGGCTATACGAAGACGTGGACCTACATAGATTATTTTCTTTCTTAGGCGGTAGTATCCATTACGAACTTCAAATACCAACTTTGAAACGATTCCGGTAAACAATGTCGCTAAAATCATCAAAATACCGAATATCGGGAGGTACCGTTATATGGGGGCTATATGATTTCTTGGACCTACATGGCCCATTTACGAACTTAACCTGCCTACTGGCAAAATATACATGTTTGCAAAATTTTAGCCTTCTATCTCTATTTGTTCGAAAGATAGCGTGATTACAACAGACAGACAGACAGACACACGGACAGACAGACAGACAGACACACAGACAGACAGACGGACATGGCTAAATCGTCTTAGAATTTTACTCTGATCAAGAATATATATACTTTGTTGGGTCTGACATGAGTATTTCAAGGAGTTACAAACGGAATGACAAAATTAATATACCCTCCATAGTATGGTGGAGGGTATAAAAATATCGACAATTATAACCTTGATGGCCTCTCTGAAAACATTCCTAAAAAATGGCCATGATTATGGCCTGATGGTCTCATTAAATATTTTTAAGAACAGAACGATAAGACCTTTATATTCTCTCTCTGAAAATGTTCTCAAAATCCACTATTATAACCTTGTCGGACTCTCTGAAAAACTTTTTTAGACATCAACGATTACGAACTAGTTTGTCTCTCTGAAAATATTCCAAAAGGTTCATGATAATTGTCCTAGGGGTCCGAAAGAACTCTTAAAGAATCCACGATTACAACCTTGATGATCTCCCTGAAAATTTTCCTAAAAATCCACGATTACAAAATTATTGAACTCTCTTAAAATTCTCTCAAATAATTCACCACTATGACCTTGACGGCCTCTCTGAAATTATTTTTAAAAAATTAACGATTACGATCTAGATTGTGGCTGTAGACCTAATTCCTAAAAAACTCACGATTATAACCTTAAGGGTCTCGTTGAAAATACTCTCTTAGAATCCATCATTATAACATTGATGGTATCTCAGAAAATATGCTTAAATCGACAAATATTTGTACAATTCAGCAGGATCAACGGTGGTGGAATCATCGATCCTTTAGCAATAAAATACAAATTAAATTTCATATAATTGCAACTGCTCCACTTCGGTATCTTTACTTTACGTTTCCAAAATCAAATCATTAAGCTTTTACACCAAAAACAATGACCATGTAACGTAATCTGGCCGTATTGTAACCCACAACTCTCAGGCCAATCGAACTTTGGTTAATACCGCCGGCCGTAACAAATGCTGCACTGGTGCCACCTTCATCCGTCTCCACCAAGAGTAGAATTTGTGTTATCTTATTGGCCTGGGGATCGTTGTAGGCATAATTTAAATAAACTTCCTTTTGGGGTCTGCTATAGGCAAAGTTATACTGATAGGTGATCATAATATAGGCACCTGAAAATGAAAAAAAAAACGGATGAGAAAAAGTCTGTTTTCCAAATTGTAATACATTACCTCTAACTTCCCTGCCCAGGCCATAATGATCGAATACACGTTCTGGCAGGAACTTATCCTGGGCCGCCAAACCTGATGCATCATCTGCAGTAGTTTCATGGATTGTGGTGGCAATCAGAGCTGCTGCCACTATGGCCAGTTTAGTAATTGAATTGAACATATCGGAAATTCTTTACGAAATGAGATACCATGAGCCCTGGTTTGACGATATTTATACCGAACTTATTTTAATATAATTTTTATTACTCCATTTAGGAAACGTGTAGTTGTTTAAAAGTTAATTATTTTAATCTTTTGTTTTAATGAAGTCGTGAGGGCAATAAACCCAGTAAAACTATTTTCTGAAAAATTAAAGTGGTATTTTTGGTCCTATTTTGAAAATGTGACTAAAAACTCCTGTTTTTAGGCTTACCTTTTTTGCCTGTTTAAATTATAAGAGATATATTTTTTTGTTTCAGTTTTAGTTCAGTCTTTTATTTAGATTTTTGGGGTAGTGCAATTTAGTTTAAGTAGTATTATTTTGGATAATTTATATTTGGGTTTTAATTCACAAAGTTTTATTTTAATAGATGTTAAGTTTTAAGTTAAATAGTTTTAATTCATTAGTTTATAATTTTTAGCACATAAGTTATATAGTTTCACAATTTATTTTTCACTTTTTAATATTAACAATGTTCTTGGTTTTTTTGTAGTGTTGATTAAATGTTCACTGTTTTTTTTTGTAAAATTACAAGATTATTAGGTTTTGTTCACTAACACTTGTCACACGGGGGGGAACTTGTTTTCGCGACGGTAATTACATGAGAACTGATTATTGCCAAATTTGCATCGTCACATCAAACCTGTTTTGGCTGTTGACGATGCTTAGTTATTAGAATTCAGCATTGGAATTTACCGGTGGCTGCATAAATGTATGTGTGTATGTGTATGTATTTACATTATTTACATCATTTTGTTATGATGCCATTTATGCGGCCGCCGGTAAATGCCCAACCAACAGTGTTGGGCAAATTAATAGCAATATTATGAACATTTTCTGGGCCCCGAATGACAAGTGTAAGTATTCATTTTTAATATACCATAAGGATCTTCGGTCTTCAGTTCCTCGGCATGTTCTTGATTGGCCCAGCAAACACGTAGCCCAGTTGTGTGTTGTAGGCCAGGACATCTCCAATTCCAGCTGCTGTACACCCATCTTTCCTTATGGCGGAGTACGTGTCCGCTCCCAGTTCCACATCGATCGGACTATTTCCTCTGGGATCAGGGTCAGCTAAGGCGTAGCTCGTGAAGCATCTAGTGGGGTCTTCAAGTATTGGGTCCGAGTAAATGCGTCTTGGGAGATCTTCGATAATTACGGCATTTACCTTCAGACTCCAAGTACTGTTCATGCGGCGGGGCGAAACTGTGAAGGTGGTGAATCGCTCCCCTTTGTACTCTCGCGACTGCAGACCCAGGCGACGGAACGCGGCGTACGAAATCTTAGACATCGTCGCAGATTGGCTAATAATGGCTCGCAGCATACTGAACCCCTCCATGCCCTCGGCCGTTATGCGTACCATCGCTGTTGGTACAAACACCAAATCCCATGCGAAGGCTGGGGTTGTAATGGCCTCGATGTTGAGGGATACCTCGTCCAACTGAGACGCCCCGTGCAATAGGGTATGGTGCCGGTCGTTGCATCTCCGGCAACCAGTTAAAGACGGGCAGTCGGGGGCCAAATGACTTCTCGCCAGGCAATTTCGGCAATACCCCCGACGCTCCACGGTCTCATACCGCTGGAAGGGCGTCTGTCTGCGGAACCTCTCACAGGCACTGAGGGCATGGTCATCTTGGCAGAGCCCACATGAATATTGCCAGTAGCTTGGTCTTTCTTGGCGTTGGCGGGGTCTTACGTCGGATCGACTTCTCTGTCGCCTTTCAGGGGATGTGGAACTGGGACGATGGATGGGTCGATTGGCGCTTCTTGCTGTGGGACGGGCAGGTGAGTCTGGGCTACGGTTGCGATCGTCCAGACGGTAGTCCTGGTTAGGCAAGTAAGCGGCCATATCTGAAAAGAAATTGAGGCGAGTACTAAATTCTTTTTTGAGTGGGAATCCGACTAGTCAGTCGGAAAACAATTTGACAATTTTTGTAATGGGTCTGCTAATGTTGCCACTTGCCGTCCGTATGTCTACAACCCTGGTATTTTGGTCACTACCTGGATACGTTTTTTCGATACGACCTAACTTCCATTCATGCGGAGCCAATCTATCATCTTTTACGACAACTAAATCTCCTTCTTTGATGTTCTCCTTTTCATATTTCCACTTAGTCCTTCTGTGAAGTTCGTGAAGATATTCTAATTTCCATCTGTTGCAAAAGTATTGTGAAATAACTTTGAGTCTTTTCCAACGATTGACTAAGCTTAAATCTGTATCTGAAATGTCTGGTTCAGCTGGGGTAAGAATAGGTGTTCCTATTAAGAAATGACCAGGTGTCAAAGGGGAAAGGTCGTTTGGGTCGTCGCTAGCAGGACTTAAGGGTCGTGAGTTAAGGCAGCCTTCAATTCTTGATAAAATAGTTGTAAATTCTTCAAAAGTGAAATTCATTTTTGGGATACTTTTTCGTAAATGAGTTTTAAATGATTTGACGCCAGCTTCCCACAAGCCGCCCATGTGCGGAGCACCAGGAGGAATAAATTTCCAAGTAAGATTTGAGTGAAATTATTTTGAATTGTGCTATTTTGAATATTCTTCATGAAAGCTAGTCTATCTCGCTTTAATAGATCAACCGCTCCCACAAAGTTTGTTCCGTTGTCCGAAAATATACAAGACGGACAACCTCGCCGACTAATAAACCTAGAAAAAGCGGCAAGAAAGGCATATGTCGACAAATCGCTTGTTGGTTCTAAATGTATAGCCTTAGTGGCGAAACAAACAAACAGGCACACGTAGCCTTTTGTAATAAAGCAGGCTCTTCCTGAATAACTTTTAATGTTAAAGGGTCCTGCAAAATCTACCCCTGTGTTTGTAAAGGGTCGAGAAAGAAAAGTGCGTTCAGGTGGTAGCGAAGCCATTATTTGAGTTTGGGTTTGTTTTTTGTGAATTAAGCAGATTCGACATTTTCGTATGGTTTGTTTGATAAGCGACTTGAGTCCGAATATCCAGAATTCGGACCTTAATACTCGGGTCATTAATTGATTACCCCCGTGTAAAGTAACCTTATGAGTGAATTCGACTAACAATTTGCTAAGTTTTGCGCCATGTGGTAATATTATTGGGTGACGTTCGCTGTAGGTAAGGGCTGGCGATTGTACCAATCGGCCATTTGCTCTAATAATACCCTTTGAGTCTAGAAATGGGTTGAGTGTCAACAGAGGACTTGAAGGAGAAATTTGAGTCTTTTTCATAAGTGCGTTGTATTCGTCTGCATATACGAATTTTTGTGTACGAATTATACAAGATCGTTTTCCATCTTGGATTTCCTCTGATGTAAGGTCGTTTGCTGAAGTGCGAAGGTGTTGTCTATTTACTCCAGTATTTTTCCAGAGTCTTAGGGCATATGCGTATGAGCGATAAATTTTAGATAAAGAGGAGAAATTTTTTAAAGGGTCTTCCTTTTCCGCGAAAAGGGTCATGACTTTTGCCGTTTTGGCTTCCAAATTTGTGTCATTGGGATTTCATACGATGGCCAACGGTCTTTTGGCATTCTGAGCCATTGAGGTCCCTGCCACCAGAGATCACTAGTCTTTAGCTCTGCAGGCGAACATCCACGGCTCGCAATATCAGCTGGGTTATTTTCCGAATCAACATGTCTCCAATTTTCTTGTCCAACATTATCAGCAATTTCCGAGACTCTATTTCCAACAAATGTGCTCCAATGACAAGGAGGCTTTTTTAACCATGCTAAGACGATGGTAGAATCGGTCCAAAATTGTGTCGAATATTTTGATATTTGTAGGCTATTCACAATGGATTTAGCTAATTTTGATAGTAATACTGCCCCGCATAACTCGAGTCTGGGTATTGATAATTTTTTAATAGGAGCGACACGAGTCTTTGCTGCTAATAAGTATGTATGCGTCTTATGGTCAGTATTTTCCACCCGAATATAAAGAGTGGCTCCATATGCGCTTTCTGACGCGTCACAAAATCCATGAATCTCTACAGAACCATCTAGCGTGTATTGAATCCATCGAGGAACTCTCAGATATTCAATATCTTTGCTATTTTTGACGAAATTGTTCCAGTTCATTTGTGTTATTGGCTTTAATTGATCATCCCAGTCAATTTTGTCTAGCCAGATTTGTTGCATTATTAACTTAGCTACGACAACTACCGGTGCCAGCCATCCACATGGGTCAAACAATTTGGCTATCGTTGATAAAACTTCTCTTTTTGAAGAAATATTTTTATTTTCCATTGTGGGTGGTGTGAAAGAAAAATAATCGCCTGAGATATTCCATCGAATTCCAAGGGTCTTAGTTGAAGCATCTTCGGAAATGTCTAGCCAATTGAGTGGTAGCAAATGTTCATGTGGAATATCTTGTATTATTTTGCGATCATTTGATGCCCACTTCATGAGTGTGAAACCAGCAGAGTCTAAAGCAGCAGTTAATTCTTTTCGAGCTTTTATTGATTCATCTTCAGTGTGACCGCCAGCTAATACATCATCAACATATAAATTATTCAAAATTATATTTGCGGCTCTAGGGTATGATTCTTTTACATCTTCTGCTAGTTTAAGAAGAGTTCTCAATGCTAAATATGGTGCGCAGTTAACTCCAAATGTAACTGTTAGCAGCTCATAATCTTCTACTGGGTTTTCCGGAGACTTTCTAAAGAGAATTCTTTGATATTTCGTTTGCTTTGAATCCAAAAGTATTTGGCGATACATCTTTGTTATATCTGCATTGAAGGCATATTTAAAAAATCTCCATTTTAGAATTTGTAGTACTAAATCCTGTTGAAGAATGGGTCCAGGATATAGTATGTCATTGAGACTTGTTTTGTTTGATGAAGGACAAGAAGCGTTAAATACGACTCTTAACTTCGTTGTGAGTCGATCTGGTTTTATCACAGCGTGATGTGGTAGATAATAATTTGGCATTTTATCTATTTCATTCGGATTGATTTTCCTCATATGACCAAGTTCTAAGTATTCTAGTATTGAGGCATCATATTGTTCTTTGATCTCTGGTGTTTTCATAAGTTTTTTCTCCATTCTGTAGAATTGAGCTAGGGCGATGTTTCTGGAATTCCCCAATTCCTCGCATTTTTTGAATGGGAGAGTCACCACATATCTTCCATCCTTGTTCCGTATTGTTGTTTCAATGAAGTTTTGTTCACAAAATTGGTCTTCTTCTGACCGTAAAACTTTTTTAGGGGTCTCTTCCACCTCCCAAAAACGTGTAAGTACTTTCTCTATTGAAGTTGTATTTAGAAGTGATATTTGTTTTCGTTGAAGGATGCTTCCTGGTATGGGTCCTCCAACTATCCATCCAAATTTGGTTTTTTGTGTTAAAATTGATCCAAATGTTTTCATTGGAGTTCCAATTGTACATATTAATGGTCCTATGTCCATTCCAATAAGAATATCGATTGGTTGGCTAACGTAAAATTTCGGGTCAGCCAGTTCTAATGCTGTTACATCTCGAAGTTGTGATTCATCTAAGTTTTGTGGTGGTAGATTTGAAGGTAAGTTCTTTAAAACTGGAGCCCAAACTTCCAGTTTAAAGCTAGGGTCATATTTGGATCTCATAGTAAACAAGCAAGATTTTGTTGAAGTTTCAGAAACAAATTGACTTAAGCCAGTGACATGAACTAAGTTGCTCCGTGTAGGTAACTTCAAAAAGTTTTTCATCTTTTCCGAAATAAAGGTGGATTGTGATCCTGAGTCTATTAGAGCTCGGGCATCGTAAAGTTGTCCTTTGGTTGCAATTTGTACTATTGCTGTGAAGAGTAGTGTTCCTCCAGATTGTCGCTCACAAATTTGCTTATCTTGGAGGGTCAAAGTAGTAATAGTAGTTGGTTCTAGGTTTGAAGTGGACTGTATTTGATTTGTAAGAGCAGAAGCACTAGTACTAGGTCGTGCTTCCACTCGAGCTAGGTATGAGTTGGTTGTTTGGGTTTCCGTTCCCTTGTGTAACAAAGTATTGTGTTTCATAGTACAAATACGGCAGCCAAAGCGACTTTTGCAATCCTTTACTCCGTGATTTGATGACAAGCAATTGTAGCATAAGTGTGAAGTTTTCACGATGTGAATTCTGTCATTCACACTCTTTTTCAAAAATTCGCTGCAATCTCTTATGAAATGATTTGATTTGCAGACTTGACAAGTTTGAGTATTTTTCTGTTTATTTTGTTGAGGTAATATTACATTAGTAGGTCTTCCTCCAAAGTTGTTTGTATTTTTTGAGACATTTGTTTGAAATGTTTTCAAAAATCTAGGCGTGTAATTGTTAGTTGGTTTTTGTTGAGCAAATTTCGATGTAGAGGGCTTTATATTACCAACTGATTCCAAAGTTTTGAATTTGTTTGTTAAGAAAGCGTCAAACTGTTCCCATTTTGGAATTTGTTTACAATCGCTTAATGAGTTCTCGAATTCTTCTAAAAAGCCTCTAGGTAATTTTGTTGAACAAATGTATATTAAAATCGGATCCCATCCTTTAACATCGACATCAAGCATCCCCAGTGTCTGAATGCTGCTATTTACCGTGCGTTGTAGTTTTTGAATAGAGTGACTTGATTCAGCAGAAACTCCAGGTAGATTAAAAAGTGTCTTGATTTCTTCATTAATTTGCATTCGTTTATTCTCGTAACGATCTGTGAGATTTTTCCATGCTAATGTAAATCCATCATTAGTTAGTGGGACATGTGAAATAATTTCTCTAGCTTCTCCTGCTGTCTTTTGCGTTAAATGGAATAATTTTTCGACATTGCTTAATTTTGAGTTGTTTATATAAATTGCCGAAAATAGATCTCTGAAAGTTGGCCATTCTCTATAACCACCTTTAAATGTGTCTGTATCGCATGGAGGTAGCCGCGATACATTAGTAAAATCCACTTCCCTTCCTTGTTGTGACATCTCTGACTCTCTTTTCATTTTTTCCTGTGTCTTTTCATCCAAAAGATTTTGAATTTGTCCATTTATTGAACTCAGCGCTTTTTTGTACGATCCCATGGTATCCATATAGTGCTTTCTCAGTTTATTTTTATCGATCGGCTTTCCTTCCTCTTCTGGAACATAATCCCGACAGTCTATGTAGGCTCTCTTGACCTGGTCCCATGCAGAGTCCAACTCCATTCGTGTTGTTTCCAAAGTATGT